TTGAGCCAAACGACTCACAACTATAGGAAGTTGACTGATGACTGAATATACAGCGATTATTTTATCTCTTAATAATAGTTCAAACAAAAACAATCAATGTTAATAATGGTATGAAAAACTCTACATTTCTATCTCGACTATTAGAAATACATTTCAAGTGTCATTTTATTTTTTTGAGAACAACATGCCAAAAGTAAATAAAACTACAAAACAGCTTGAAAATAATTTTATAAAATTAGTTTGTCTTATGAAGAACAAATATTTCTCACTTCTACCCTTTGTTGACAAATTTGTTTCGTATTTTCTGATTGTTTTTTTTTTTTTTTAATGACAATGGACTAAATTCTTAAAATAATTATTGTCAAGAACATTATAGGAATTCAACCGATATCTCTCAGCATGCAAAATTAAGTTTGAGGGGGGATGCAGGAGTCTTCGTAGTTGCGGCTCAATGGAAATGTTCAGTTTTTTTTAATGCTGTTACTTTATAATAGAAATAAAATAAAAATAGTTTAACAAGAAAAAATAAGAAAATTTGGATTTATTTTTTTTTAATTTTTAAAATTTTGCTGTGAACTTATTTGGTTATCTTGAAGTAAGATCGGTTGGAGAATGTAGGTTAAGTTTTCAAAATACCCTAAAGTGGTAGAACCCGTTACAATCTGTGAAAAACATTATGGAAAAGATGCGTAGAATAATGTGGTTAAACTCATTGTAGGGGCTATTCGAAAACGTGGACCGATACCAAATATCCTAGATACAATACAAACTATTGTGCAAAAGCTCCACCTCAAATAATGCAAGTTGTATAGTGATTTCAACAGGCATCTTAAAATCAACGAATATTTAGAGATGTTACAAACGGAGTGACAAATTTAATGTACCGTTTTTCATGGTCGGCATGGACCATTCAGCCGCTAAATATTATCTGCCTCCAGAAGTTTTTGTCCATTTCAAATATTTTACCAACATCTCCAAAAAAGATGGGCTTCTATTCTGACCCTTAACCTAATTCTGACCCAGGCCATAATTCCGACCTGTACAGTATAACAAATTACCCTTGACCAACAGAGGAACGGACGCAAATAATTCAACTTGACGAGATAAGATTATCGATCATCTTACTACAATATTTTAAGGTGTTTGTGTACTATGTACTATTTATAACCTACAACACTATGTAGTGAGGATAGTATTGTAGGGTATATATAGTAATTGTTGTGGAGAATAACGTTGCAATATTACTTCTGTCCATTTACATACATCATATTCTTCATACTTCAATTTAGCTATATATCAGCTGGTACTCTCAGGCTTACCTTGTTATTCTAGCATGTACACGATTATTTTCCAAATATTATAAATAATTATGCTCTCAGTCATATGGCAGTCAAAACGTGCGTCATCGAAATAACGGTTTTAGACCATAGGTCTCTTTGGACCAAATCTATTTCAGGACATTTGGAGTCGATCTAGCGATTTCCGTCCATCCGTCTGGCTTGCTGGTGCGCACAATAACTCTCGAAGGGAGTATCCGATTTGATCCAAACTTTGTACATCGTAATATTATTGTCAGACTTAGATCGAGTTCGGAGATGGGCAATATCGGTCCACTCCTTCTGGTACCTCCAATATTTGTCCACTCCATCAAGTACCTCCCCTCAAAGGATCAACATTTTGAATAATTATAAATCTTATAAAATGTAATGTATGTGGCCGATTTTCTTCAAATTACACACATCACAATATTTTTTTTGACCCAAGGTCTGGTGTGAAGATGGAATATTTTAGTCCACCCCTTCAAGTACCTCCCCCACAAAGGGTCAATATTTTAAATATTCATGAAACTCATAAAACACAAAATTAACATCTGATTCCATTCAGACTTGGCACATCTCAATATTTTCACTAACGCAAGATCTGTTATAAAGATGGTAAAGATCGGACCATTCCTTCTGGTACCTCCCCCACAAAGGGTGAACATTTTGAATAACCAAGACGATCATAAAATCCGAAATAAGTATCCGATTCCCTTCAAATTACACACATTATAATTTTTTAACAAAACGCTCAAAGAAAGCGAAGTAAGCATCCATATCCATCTCCTCAAATTTCCCACACACAAACATTTTTGCCAACACAAAATCTGTTGTAAAGTTGATAAACATCTGCCAATCCCACTAAGAGTCACAATTTCCAATACTTATATCTGTCATATCTTGCAAAACAAGTCGGCGATTCTTTACAACTTGCTGTATCTAAATATTTCTATTAATCAGAAATTCTATTAATCGGAATCTATGATATCGCATATAATTGGATATAAATGTTCGATTTATTTCAACTTTTACACATACCAAAATTTGTATCTATATTAGATGAAGTATGAAAATGAAATACTTGGGTCCGCTATATCTGATACCTCACGCATATTTCCACATTTTCTGTTTTATTTAAACTGAACCCGGCAGGATGATAGTAGCGAGTTGAGGATGGTCCGGAAACTTCATTTTAGCTATATGCCAACTCGTCTGAGAGGAGGCCTACCTTGTTATTTTAGCATGTGCACGATTATTTTCCAAATATAATAAATAATTTTAATTAATTTCATCTATATTCCATTACTTTAATTCTGTGTTTGCTCGAAACTTTTTATAATTATTTTATTTTTCAAATTAAATAAATGAAACACTGTGGACACTTTTTGGATCTTTAAGAAGAATTTCGAAGAAACAAATATTTGAATTTGCGACATAAATTACCATTGTATTTTAAGTACAGAAAATCGCAGTACATAGAATACTACTAAAAGGCGGTCATTCGTTTGTACTCTTTATATAGTCCAATTGACAATAAGTTATAAATGCTTTTGCAAGCTGTATGCTCACGATTCATATGGGAAAATACATATTCTTATTGGTAAATGCAAAAATTAAATGATCACAATATTATGACATGGCATCCAACGCCATCTCTTATTATTTTTGAGGCAGAAATGTTGCATCTTATTATGTGTTACGTCTTTGATTTTGTCGAAGAATGTCGATCATAGATGGTCTGTCATAAACTGCGATGTATACGACATACTTTTCCGTCCCAGCATAGGAAGTGTTGTCCAAGAACGTATATAGGAAGGTAAAGTTTACTTATTCCTGTATGTATGTAGGAAGGTAATGTTTAATTATTTAGGATATTCACATTCTTTCCTTTGATATCCCTGATCCTACCTGAACCATAGACCTAAATATTATCCGTCCTAAAACGGTAAAGACTGGTAAGTTCGTCCGGGACGAACTTTTAGTACCGTGTTTTACTTAAAACTTCATATACCAATAAGACCGTTTGGATAATGCAGTTAAACTTTTCAAAATACCATAAAGTGAGTGAGGCCGTAATATAGGGCCATGCCAAAACGGGAACCTAGATAGACAATTTTATACTTCAAGGATTGTCATCTACCATAACTTCTTAAATACCAATTTTGAAACAATTTCGTTGGTAAATATGACTAGGATTATCAAAACACCGAATATCGGGTGGTATCGTTATATAGTGGCTATACCAAAACATGGACCTATGCATACAATGTTCCGCCACACGAGCTAGAACGCCTTATGACCAACAAATACCAATTTTTAGACAAGTCCGTGGGAAAATGTGGCAATAATCATCAAAATACCGAATATCGGGATGAACCGTTATATGGGGGCTATACAAAAACGTGGACATATACATACAATGTTTCGCCACGGGAGCTAAAACCTAATATGACCTATAAAGACAAATTTTAAGACAAATCTGCGAAAAAATATGGTAAAAATCATCAAAATACCGAATGTAGGGAGGTACCTTTAAATGGGGGCTATACCAAAGCGTGGACCTATACATACAATGTTTCGCCACACGAGCTAGAACCCTTTATGACCTACAAATACCAATTTTTAGATAAATACGTGGAAAATGTGGCAAAAATCATCGAAATACCGAATATCGGGAGGTACCGTTATATGAGGGCTATACAAAGACGTGGACCGATATATCTCATTTTCAATTCCAACCAACTAGACATAATACAAATTGTTCTGGTACAAAAGTTCTACGTCAAATAATGGGAGATGTTCTTGATTTAAACAGACAGACGGACATCGTTAAATCGACTTTGAATTCTATGCTGATTATGAATATATATACTTTATGGAGTCTGCGACGAATATTTAGGGATATTACAAACGGAATGACAAAGTTTTTTTTATTTATTTTGACCGGCACGTAATAAACGAGCACTATTATCGATTTCCCAGTCCCACAACGCAACCACTTAGGAATCAATCTATTATTATAAAATATGGATGGAGTAACTGATAGTGACAACATAGGCAATATATCGAGAAATTCAAAATTATGGCTAAAACATTGTTCAACCAACTTGGGGCGTATTCTATACATTTTGTAAAAAAAATTACGCTGCAGTCGAAACCCCTTAATGTCCGTTATACGTACCATCTCTGACTGAGTGTAAAAAAATCACAGAAGATCAATAGATTATTTTGCCTTAAACTAGTAGAAAGCCCTCAAAAACCATAATTTTCAATTATTTCAAAAGAAAATATACAAATATGATGTCATTCGTTTTACTCAATGCAACATTTTGTTAGTAGTGATGGGTAAAAAACCAAACACATTCCTAATAATCTCTCAGACATTCCATGATGCCCTCTGAATATTTGGCGCCTGTCTTGTCTGTACCAAATAATATGCGAACGAAACGTTCACCTTCATACAAATGCCAGCGGCATATATAAATCACAGTATGTAGTATTTATAAGTTCGTTTAAATAGATTCTCACTGTCCGTTACAAACACTTTTGCCAATGAGTTTGTCCCTTGTTTAGACATTTTATAGCTATTTCATGCAATTGTGGGGCGTATCCATTGATCTTTTGCTTTGAATTGTTTGTGTAGGAAAGCGTCAAAAAAACATGTTGAATAGTTATACTTACATAATTTCCTGGAGCACCAGGCGCTGGTGGAACGTTTGGATTATATCCGGGAGGCACATATCCTCCTTTATCCAAATTACTCATTGGCATGGACATTTTGCACTGAAGAGTATTTAATTATTTACACACCGAGAGTAGGATCTGCAAGAACGACGAGTGTATTAGGACTTAATGCAACTGTACGTACAAAATTCGAATCCAAAATATTTTGAAGATTCCCCAAAACACATCCAAATTTATTTTATATATATGTATATTTGTGTATGATTTGGCACTGGTTTGTAGGTTTGTTACTCGATAGGGGGTTAGGCAAACACGTATGTCATACTGGCGCCTACGTCATTGTTTTGTTTTCTTTTATTGGCCTATTGGCTGCGATTCTTCAATTCCATAATTCACAAAAATAGAAGCTATTTACCACTTATTTTATATCACTTTTTTCTTGCTCTTTTTTTCTATTTGATTTGGTATGAATTATTTGAATTTGATGGATTTTTGCACAAAACACTCTCAAAATTCTCAAACAAACTTCAAACAAGTTCCAACTCGCCTATTAAAAACAAATTTCACAACATCCTTCAATCTCCTCATTCGTAAAAATTTCACTTTCTATATTATTTTTTATTCTAAATAAAAACAGCTGTTTAAAGAGATAGCCATTGTTGCCATATTAACAGAAATGTCCCACCAAACAAACCACCCAGTAGTATAGTACAAGACATGGTAGAAGAATACCGGTAGATACAACAAGGGTTAGGAACTTTGATATGTAAAAAATTTTAAATGCCTTTTCAAATATAAGTAGATTTTTATATGTTTTCTTATGCGACGTTATTCGGAGGTTATTATAACAAGCATTTTCAACAATTTTTACAAATTTAAATGATTTTTAATTCAACATTTTCAATTCAAAAATTCGTTTGACAGTTCATTGTCCCAGCGGCTGTGTCGATGCATCTACCTATATTGGCACTTGTCAAAATTTTTTTGATGCTTTGTGAAAAACAAGGCGATTTTTACATGATTTCTTATAAGTCGCAAATCGGAGGTTGTAATGATATGTATTTTTCAACAATTTTTACAAATTTCAATAATTTTTCATTCACGATTTTCAATATCAAAATCGGCTTGACAGTTCATTGTCCCAGCAACTGTGTCGATGCGACTACCTGTACTCCTTTACCATGATTGCTACACAAAATTATTTTTAAATTTTGAAGGCGAACAACGTGATTGAAATTGCAATGGGAACATAGTATAAGTCGAACAATCGTCTATGAATAGTAAAGTCGTAAAATAGTAAAATCGCATCGACACAGCTGCTGGGACAATGAACTGTCAAACAGATTTTGGAATTGAAAATGTTGAATGAAAAATTATTGAAATTTGTAAAAATTGTTGAAAAAAAGAATATTATAACAACCTCCGATTTGCGTCCTATAAGAAAACATATACAAATCTACTTATTTTTGACAAAATGCTTTAAAAATGTTGACATATCAATGTTCCCAAGCGTTGATGCATCAACCCATGGTACAATGATATCAAGGTAGGGCAATGATACCATATGATTTCAATTTTTTTATTTTCTTGGCTTAATATGTCATCTTTATTTGTTTATGTATGTGTTTTCTTTTCAATAACAAAAAAATTGTTCAGAAAACATTCAAATTCGGATGTTTTCAAAATGTTTATTTCATCGTATGCATCGACAAAATCTAGAGTTTTTGTAGCGAAATAATCGTTTAGAGATATATAGAACCTGGTTTTGAAAAGAAGTGTTGACCTTTCATTCAGTTATCGCGGTTTTCAATTATTTATTCAAAATAAATGCAACAAGTTGTTTGATTTTTTATTGTTTTGATACTAATTCTGACATTACAAGCCAAACAGGTAGACCTCTATACTTGCAATTTTTTCAAAGTTGACCTACCTTCTCTTCATTGTACCATGCATCAACCTGTATTCTTCAACCATGGTTTTAACCCAAGTCCATAGTCGAGTTCGAGTTTCAGAACTTTGAGTACAAAAGGCCATTATTCCATTAATCGGAAGTCGACTTACCTATCCCTAATTTTGAGTTGACCTTTCGTAAACAACAACAAAGCATAGTAAACAACTGTTGGTCAGATTGTTTTGTTTTCAGACTTTCAGTTCTTCAATCCTGTGTTATGTGTTTTATGGTTTATTCCGTAGAAACTTGTGTATTTAAGTAAGCATTGCACTACAAACTTTCTAGGAAAAAATGAGCAATATTTACATACAAGAACCACCAACTTCGGGGAAGGTATTTATTTATAAAAAAACAATTTTATTCCATCCAATTACAACCTTCTTGGAATTCTTTGTAGGTCCTGCTGCGTACCACTGTGGGCGACATCGACATTGAACTATGGTCTAGAGAATGTCCAAAGGCATGTCGAAATTTCATTCAACTATGTATGGAAGGTTACTACAACAACACCATATTCCATCGTGTCGTAAAAGATTTCATTGTACAAGGTGGTGACCCATGTGGCGATGGTACAGGTGGGGAATCGATTTATGGGCAACCATTTAAAGATGAATTCCATTCACGTCTACGATATACCAGGCGTGGCCTTGTTGGCATGGCAAATTCCGATAAGGACGACAATGGATCACAATTTTTCTTCACAATGGGACCGACGCCGGAATTACAAAATAAAAACACTTTATTTGGAAAGGTAACAGGTGATACCGTTTTCAATATGTTGAAATTAGAGGACGGTGAAGTGGACCACAACGAAAGACCTATGTATCCCCACAAAATTCTAAAAGCAGAAATATTAAAGAACCCTTTTGATGATATTGTGCCTAGGGAACTGAAAAAGGAAGTCAAGAAGGATAAGAAAAAGAAAAAAGAGAAAGGCGTCAAGTAAAGTATCGAAATATGAGGGAATTCCTATATTTTGTTAAACCGTTTAAATTTACAGAAATTTTGGTTTGCTATCATTTGGTGAAGAAGCCGAAGAGGATGAGGTTGAAACTACAGAATTTGTACAGAAGAACGCAGGGAAAGCCAAATCTTTGCACGATGTTGTCGATGATCCTAAACTGAGCAAAGAACCTGTAAAAGTAAAGTTCGAAGATGAGAGTAATTCGGAATCAGAAGAAGAATGGAATGTACCCATAAAGGAAGAGCCATTGGATGGAGATGAATTAAACGATAGAAAGCAGCGCATAAAAGACAAACTGAAATCAAGGTCTTCGGAGAAAATTAAGAAAAACAAGCCACCCATCAAAATTGAAGAAGTATCCGATTCAGATGATGACCAGTTACTAACACATGAAGACGAAAAGCGACTTCAAAAGGAAAAGAAGAAGTTCGTCTCATTTTTGTTTCCAATAAAATTAAAGTTCATTAGTTCTTGATTTTTTTTTTTCAGGGAAGAGATTCGTCAGGAAATACTGACGCTGAAGAAACAATATCAAAGCGAAAAGAAACAAAAGGACGAAGAACTGGAAAAGAAAGAAAAGGCCAAAAAACTTGAACATGACAATAATGAACTTATTAAGAGTTTCATTGAAGAAAAAGAAAAATATGAAGGCCTTAAAGCCAAAATACCGAAAAAAGGCACAAGTCGGGAAGATTTTACATTAAGTTTGCTTTCCAAGTTTCGCTCAAAATTAGATGCATTAAAACAAAAACGTGAGGAGGATGAACGAGAGGACGATGATGAGGCAAACAACAAAGTCGATGATAATGTAGTTGAAAAGGAAATACAAGGCGACGATTGGTTGTGTCATACATTGAAATTCAAAGAAGATGTTCCAGTCTTAGCAAAAGATGCCTCTACCAAGGGTGATGATTGGTATGACGTATATGATCCACGAAATCCTTTAAACAAAAGAAAACGCAAGGAAGCAGTTGGTCGTTCAGAAAGCCAAAATAAAAAACGAATCTAAATATATAAATTGTTTAAAATTTATTATTTGGAATTTCATTAAAAAAGTGTAGAAAATATTGATTTGTCACAGTTACACTATTGTTTGTTGCATACAACTATTTTAGTTGTTTTTCTCAAAATACTTGGTCTTCTCTTTGGGATTTGGTACAATCTAAAAGAAATAGAAAAAACATCAGCTGTGTTACAAAAAAAAAAGAAAATTATATAAAATAACTTACAGTATCTGCACCTGGTTTCCAACCCGCTGGGCAAACTTCACCATGTGTATCGGTGTATTGGAAAGCCTGTACCAGTCTTAGAGTTTCATCCACAGAACGTCCTACAGGCAAATCATTCATTGTAATCTGACGCAAAATACCGCGATGGTCAATTATGAAAAGTCCACGCAATGTGTGACCCAAGTCATCCAAGTAGACACCGTAGTCTCGGCTTATTTTATGTGTTAAATCGGAGAGCAGTGGGATTTTAACATTACCCAAACCGCCTTCTTTGCGTGGTGTATTGATCCAAGCCAAATGGGTAAAATGTGAATCTACACTACAGGCAACCACTTCTGTGTTCACTTTACGGAATTCTTCGATGCGATCAGAGAAAGCTATAATTTCGGTGGGACAGACAAAAGTGCTGGAATAAAAGAAATATACAATTATAGTTTCGGTACTGATGAAGTAAGCAATTTTTCAAGATAATATGAACAAAATATTTTACATTACTTCGATATCCTAGTGATAAATAATATTATGATGTGGAGTAAATTGATGTCTGCTTTGTTTGGTTCAGATTTAAAAAGTCCTTCATGTACAACCCCCTCCAATTAGATGTTTATGATACAATTTTGTATAACGCAATTAGGTTCCGACAAGAACAAATTGTTTTTGGTGCGAAGAATATTATATATATTCCGTCCGATTCTAAATTTTAGACTAAACACTAAATATGCGTTCGTATAAAATAATTGTAATTTGCATCATTTACTTTACACATGTCCCAATACAAACATATGTTTAAGACGAGAAGCTGATATTACTTTCTCGCTCCCCAATCCCAGAAATACTTTAAACAAATGTAACCAAATCAATACTCACAAATCCAGTGGGTAGAAAAGCAGTACAACATATTTTCCAGCATATTGCGACAGTGATAGCTTCACAAATTCTTTGTTGACAACTGCGGTTCCCTCGAATGGGGGAGCTGGTTTAGAAACTACACAAAAATAGATAAAAGTAATTAGATTAAAATTAGTTTCAGGACCTCGCTCAATTCTCATGCCAAAACTTACTGACTGCCTTGGTAGTTTGTAGCGTGTGGTCACCTTTGGGACTTTCTGCCGGATAAACTGAACCACCGGCGAACGAATAACACGAATCGTTATCCTCTGTTGACAGAGCAATACAACTCACAACGCCCACTACCAGTAACAGAGCATATGACAAATAACTTGCCATGGTTATCTAAAAAAAGAAAAGAATAGTTTTAATAAAATATCCACAACTGTAGGAATAGCAAACTCGCCACGCGTACACTTTCAAAATTTAATCACTGTTGCTCCAATGTTCGATAAGACAAAGCGCAACCCTTTTACGTGTCTATTGACACAAGTGTAGATTCTCAGCTTGTGGTTCGTACATAGTTATATATATTTTATTCATATATGAAATAGATCGTTGCTGAGACATATCTTTTGTTATCAATTGATTTTTTGTGTGTTGTTTTTGCTATTAATTAGGAAAGTTTTGGAGGGCAACAACAAAACATTTGGTATTAAAGAAGACTTATTTATATATCCTTCAATATTAAATAAAACTTAAGTTGGTTGTCAATAATGGTTTCAAATTTCGACTTACATATGCTCGTATATTTTCTAGAAAATAATTAAGTAATTACAATGAAAACAATCGACCTCAACCGGCTAATATCGCCGCTTAATATAAATAAATGCCACTACAAACTATTGACAGTTGTAACATTTAGTAGTAGAAAAAGTGTTGCCATCATTTTGCGGGAATGTTAACGGACAAAGTCATTGTGTGACAGGTGGATACCATGGCACAATAATAGAAGGTAGAACAAAGCTATCTCCAAACTACATGTTTTTAGGTGCTTCTATTTTGTCAAAATATGCATATGTGTTTGTATTGTTGTAAATCATGGTACAATGAAGAGAAGGTAGGCCAACTTTGAAAAAATTGCAAGTATAGAGGTCTACCTGTTTGGCTTGTAATGTCAGAATTAGTATCAAAACAATAAAAAAATCAAACAACTTGTTGCATTTATTTTGAATAAATAATTGAAAACCGCGAAAACTGAATGAAAGGTCAACACTTCTTTTCAAAACTAGGTTCTATATATCTCTAAAGGATTATTTCGCTACAAAAACTCTAGATTTTGTCGATGCATACGATGAAATAAACATTTTGAAAACATCCGAATTTGAATGTTATCCGAAAAAATTTTTTGTTATTGAAAAGAAAACACATACATAAACGAATAAAGATGACATATTAAGCCAAGAAAATAAAAAAAATTGAAATCATATGGTATCATAGCCCTACCTTGATATCATTGTACCATGGTTGTAAATATTGAAAAACAAAAAAAAAATATTATTTGAAAATATTCCAAATTTAGATGCACGAAAAATATTTTATTTTATATATTTCCACAAAATATACAAATTTAGGATAAAGCAATATTATACCTCTATCTTGGACTGAATTTCGTGGAGAAAATTCCATGTTCCATTTACGTTTTGTGTGTTTACCCATATATAAATTTTGTGAAATAAAAATAAAATAAACAAAATGAATGGTTGAATTTGACAGAATAAGGTTCCAGTACAGTGTTGCATTTTTCCAGCAACCATTCTTATTGAGTCATTACAGGGTGAGATGAAAAAACTACAACCAATTTCAAACTGCTGTCATTTCTAAGCCACTCGTCCGAAAACTGCTAAAATTATTCCAGTGACAGCTGATTATATTGTTTACAAGCCTGCAGAAGCATTTTGGTGAGAATTTTCCAAAAAAAAAAGTTATTTGTGATGGAATTCAGCCGTGATAGTGTGATTTCTTCATATTTGGCTGGAAAACCACAAGTGGTTATCGTTAAAGCACTTCAGCATTTAAATATGAATAAATGTTTTGTGTCTCGTACCATCGCTCGTTGCCGTCATACTGGTAGTGTAGCCCGTCGTCAAGGAAGTGGACCGATGAAAACAGCAAAATCGGCACCCATGTTCGATCGAAACCCATGTCGTAGTGGCCGAAAAATTTCAATATTTTATTCGGCAAATACTAAAACATTAGCTCGGGGTAAAACCATTGGAATTTCAAAAAGTGCAAGATCTTACAACGCAACAGAAAGAAAATAGACTCAAAAGAGCTAAAGAGTTGCTTTTCTTGGCCGAAAGTGGTGAACTGCTGATAAAACATTCGTTGTCCAGCAGTTTGTAAACAGCTGAAAATGTGCATCTTCGGTTGGCCACCAGAACTCAAGCGCCGGCCATGGTGATGGTGTGAGCAGCTATAACAACCGCTCGTATTAATCGAACGTGGCATAAGAATAAATGCGAATATTACCGCGAAAATATTCTGGATGGTGTATTAAAGTCTTGGGCACGCAAACATCGCACTCAGCACGCGCCACCCATGAATGGTTACAAAATGAGGTTCCTCGCTTTATATCCACCACACAATGGCCACCAAAATCTCCGGATACCAATCCGTTGGACTATTGTGTCTAGAGTATTTTGGAAAGCAAGGTTGGCACTAAAGAATACCAAAGTGTCGATCACCTCAAAGAAGCGCTTCGTCCGAAATGGGCCAAGATACCACAGATTAACATTTGGGCAGCGTGTGACGGTTTCTTTGGCCGTTTGAAGGCCATAATTCGTGCCAAAGGCGACCAATTCGAACAAATCTAAACTTATTCTAAAATTTGATGCTATTCCGACATGTTACTGAAATTTAAATTTCATCCTGTATGTCACATAGACTTTTTCAACGTGCAACAATTGGTTTTGTTTAGTTAACATTTTTTCACAAATTTATAAATTTGGGGAAAATTTACAAAATTTGAATAGAAATTTAGGGTTTCTGCACAAAATTCAATCCAAATTAGCATGTCAAGATTGTTTTATTCCAAAATTGTACATTTTGTTTGCCGTTAAGATAGAAAATATGTATACCTGGACCTCAATTCTTGTTCTGTGAAAATGAGAAATGAAAATTTTTATAAAATAAAGAAATGTCGAATGAAAAATTGTATAAAGGATATATTTTTCATTTCATATTTTCATAGAACAAGAATCCAGCCCCTGTTGTCTCTCAATTTTAAATAATTTTTAAATATTTTCATATTTTTTTTTCAAAACAATACACACTGATATACAAACTATGTATATGTCAGTATATGGGGCCACCAAAAGAAAAAATTGTATTTTGGGGATTTGGCTTGGTTCTACCTTCTAAAAATGTGCCATCCAAGAATCAAAAAGCACGATAACCGAATTCTCTCTATGATATCGAAATATATTGCAAACTAGAGGTATGTCTGGTTACTTTTCCTGCAGGAATTGTTCAGCAACTTCTTTCGGAGAGAATATGGTAGTTTTATTCTCTTTTGCAAGAAAACTGTGAAAAGCAAGCAGACGGAATCCCAGCAAAAACTTGCAAGCAATCTGCTGATTTATCAATACAAAGCAATTTGCCCGCAAATAAAATAAATTAAGAAAGCAAAAAACATGTTTTAAACGTTCCTGCCCAAATATACATCACAGGAAGGAGAAGAAGAAGAGTTACAAGTATATGCAAGAAGAAATTTGTCCAGCAAGTATTTGCAAGCTCTCAGTAAAAGAACTGGCAAAATTTCTCTCTCGAGGGGCTCTCTTTTGCAGAACTTTTGTGTTAACCGACAACTTTCAGTAACAATTTGCAACAATTGTTACAAATTTTAGGGTAACAAGACACACCTTATATGTGTCCTTTTATGTACTTGCATCTTTACCCTGAGAAAAACTCTAATGTAAACATGCCTTAGAAAGGTAAAGTCATTTTAAATAAGACTATCCATCTCTGTATTTTCTGTAATTTACCTTGTCAAATTTTACTGAAAAAAAAAACAGGTTCTAATACAAATTTTGACAATGAGATGTCAAATGAATAATTTTGAAAAACTTTAAACCTATGATTTCATGCCTTTACCTTCTCAATTCTACCATTGTGCCCTTATTCTGTCAAAATATATACACATTTTGTGTATGTGTGTGTATTGTTTTGAATAAAAAAATACAATCATTTGATATTAATTCATATTTGGTTGCAAATAAATGCAAATTTTCGACGAAATGGGTAAGAAATTGTACTATTTTGTGATAAAACTGTATAGTAGATTCAATATTGTGGAATAACTCCAAAATTCAATTCTTGTTTCGCACGTTTTTCACTGTTTGACACTATAAGACTTCAGCGTAGAGTTGCATTTTTCCATTTTTCTTTGAAGTCGAACAACCTTTCTTTTTGAGCATTTTTATGATATCGAAAAAAAATTGCAAAAATTTTAGTTTCTTGTTTGCGCTCACTGATGATATTATTCCGTTTTTCCATGGAATTGAAAGTTTGAGAAGTTTGGACATTTCATTTCAAAGTCCTTCAAATTCTGTTGAATTTTAAATTTATATTCTCAGCTTTTAGGAAGACTCGTGATATCATTATTACAGGGAGCAGCAAACCCCAGCTAATTTGACTCTATAGTAATACTAGTGTCAAATTCGATATGACGTTTTGTGATATAATTCTATTATTTGATATACAATGCGTATACACTTTTTGGCATGGTAGAAGGATACAGGCAGTCGCATCGACACAGATGCTGAGACAATGAACTGTCAAACCGATTTTGAAATTGAAAGTGTTGAATGAAAAATGATTAAAATTTGTAAAAATTGTTAAAAAATTCATATTATAACGACCTCTGATTCGCGTCGTATAAAAAAACATTTAAAAATCCACTTATTTTTCATAAAACATTTTGAAATTTTTGACATATCAATATTCCCAAGCGTTGATGCATCTACTATATTCTTCTACCATGCTTTTTGGTATAAAAATTCATTTCAGGGCAATATGAACATTGTACTTAACAAAACGCCAACGGTCATGGTGCGGAAACTTTTTTCGCTGTTTTCATGGTACAATGAGGAGGTTTTTCTTTTTCTCATTCCATAAATCAGTTAAATAGTGGAGAGAAGCGTCAAATAAACTTTGACTTGTTGCATTGGTGATTGTGTAATTTAAAGTTAAAGAAATCTAATTTCAGGGTTTTGTTTTTCAAATTTAATCATTCTGCACTACCTTGTAATGATTGTACCGTGAAGAAAATCGGTTGTCGTAGTGAAAAATGTTACATTCTTTGCAGTTCTGGTATAGACCAAACATTGCATAAAGTAACGATTGAGTCACGATAACCCTTGAAAAATTCTCCTCATCTAAAACAACACATTATTTCTTCTGCGTTTCAATTTTGAGCCGGTAAAATGAAAATTCCGTTAATTTGCTAACCGAAATATTGATTTCCTTTACCTCTTTTCGTAGTTGGTTCGTGAGTTTTCCGTTTCCACTAGTATGAATAATCGATTCTAATTAGAATATGATATCGATAAGTCTTAACGTGAAATCGATAGCTGACAATTAGCTGTTTGTGGCAACTCCGGGCATTTCCATATGTAGGTGACATTTTAACGTCAAACAACGACGAAATTTCTCTTGATTTTTCTGTTTGCGAAAAAGAACAAATTATTTTCAAGTGGAAACAAACGTAAATAACAAAAGAATAATTAATTATTTTTATGGCCGCCATGTGTAAACAAAAAGAACTTCAAAAGATGAATCGTAAAATTAAGTAATTGGTGCTACAGAAAAGAGTGAGAGAATAGAGGAAAGACAACAAAAATTGACAGTATTGACTATTGTTAGAATTCCAGAAGAAACGACATAACAAAAAAGAAAAAAAAAAAAAACAAGAAGAAAAGTTTGTTTTGTGATTTTTTCGGAGGAAAACAAAATTTTATTGACTGGCAAACAATTTAACGCAATATCTAGTGCACCTGTGTCCGCACGCCCCCACTCTGCCGCCGCAAGGACAACAAAAGTGAGAGTAGCACGCAGCAGCGTTTAGGTAAAAACTGAACTGAACCAAATTTAAGCAATATTGCATCTACGTTTACTATATACTTAAATCTGAAATATGTAAAACTCGTTGTTGCTATTGTTGTCGATTGATTATGTATTAGAAGAGCGAAAGGAAGTGCACTCGTAAACAATTGGAGCAATTGCTTTTAGCATTGGTCAAAATGCATCCGTATAGCCGCCGTATAATAGTGGATGTAGTTTGGGAGTATCTCATTTTAAAGGGGGGACGGACTAAACACGATCGAGTCAAAGTCGTATGAAAATTTACGTGCTAGCCGTTTTCCGTCTCGATTGTTATTTTTTTTTTTTGCTTTTGCTGAGACATTTTGTTGTCATTTTTGTTTTTGTTGTTGGCGTCGTGGAGAATAGAACTTTTTTAAATATATTTTCTTTGTTGTTGGCCTTGCCCAGTGAGATGTTGTCATGTTGTTACTTGTCGTTTGTGTCGTTGCTTATAGTGTTTTCAACAAATACCGTTCGTTTGTTGCCGTCTTTTTGTCCGTCCGTACGTTGGTCGGTCGTGTCAATGGTAAACGAGAACAAAAAAAAAAAAAAAAGACGACAAACGTTTGAGTATTTTTGTACTCATTATCACTTTTTAATTAATGATAAAATTGCAATAAATGTAAGTATTTCTTCGAGAGATTACTTGGTGTTTATATTTGGTATGGATGATACCATCTTGGATGCAATCTACAAGTTCTTTTGAATCCTATGAGAGGACATTGTGAAATACGCGTATTGGTTGTTCCAAAAATTGGACCAAATCACTGAAATGTAAATACATAATTGTATAAAAAGCAGAATGTCAAAACACGTTTATTTCCAGTTTTTGTTTATCAGTTTACTTGCGTCAGATTATTACTACACCTAATTTGTGATCATAACATTTTGCTTCCATAAAGATCGGATTTGGATAACACAAATGCCACTTACCTCCTACCAAACAACCCATTGCATATGAATGTTCCAAAATATCAATCAGCTTGAATGGATACCTCCACTTTGAATGTTTTGCTATAAGTATCAACAGTAAGACCACTTTCCATGCTATAACTCTGCATCCACGCGGAATTTTATATGGCATTTGCAAATTGCGGGAGATGTGTGTATCAACTGTGCGGGAAAGATAAAATTGCTCAGCACTTTTAATATCGATGTAGGTAACAAGACATAAATAGATAAAATACAATAGGTACCTATATGATAATATATAATTCTCTATATTAAATAGTACGAAAGTAGCCTTACACAAACATGTTGGATGAATAACTTTCCAAAAAGTTAGTATTGGGTCAGGACTTTCCCTTGAATTATGGGAGTGAAAGCCCTTTCATGTTCCTAGTTGTCACGAAACTAATGTGGCTGGAAAATCCCGGCAAGTAATAAGAACCATATTCCCGTAAACCATTAGTCCAAACTCTTGAAAATATTTTTATTTGAAAAAAAAAATGGATGGCCTCTCCAGGGTCCTTTTTATACCCTCCACCTTAAAAAGGAGGGTATATTAACTGTGTCATTCCGTTTGTAACATCCCTAAATATTCGTCGTAGACCCCATAATATATACATATTCATAATCGGCATAAAATTATACGTCGATTTAAAGATGTCCGTCTGTCTGTTGATATCACGATACAGCCCACATTATTTGACATTATTGACATAATGTATACATATTCATAATCGGCATAAAATTATACGTAGATTTAAAGATGTCCGTCTCTCTGTTGAAATCACGATACAGCCCACATTATTTGACATAGGGCAATTTGTATTGTTTCTAGGATGGTTGGTATTGAAAACGAGATATATCGGTCCAGGTTTTGATATGGCCACCATATAACAATCCCGATATTTCGTATTTTAATGACAATTTTTCACGGATTTGTCTAAAAATTGGTATTTGTAGTTCCCAATGGGTTTTAGCTTCGGTCGCGTATAGGTCCACGTTTTGGTATAGCCCCCATAAAACGGTATCTCCCGATATTCGGTATTTTGATGTATTTTTCTACATTTTTTTTGCGGGTTTGTCTAAAAATTGGTATTTGTAGAGCTAGAATCACTAGCTCCAGTGCGGAATATTGTATTTATACAGGGTGAGATGAAAAAACCAAGTTCAGACTGCTGTCATTTCTATGCCACTCGTCCGACAGATGTTAAAATTATTCCAGCGACAGCTCATTATACGGTTTACAAGCATTCAAAAGCATTTTGGTGAGAATTTTATAGAAAAAGTTATTCGTGATGGAATTCAAGCGTGATAGTGTGATTTCTTTATATTTGGCTGGAAAACCACAAGTGGCTATCGTTAGAGGACTCCAGCATTTAATTGTGAATAAATCTTTTGTGTCTCGTACCATCGCTCGTTGCCGTGATACTGGTAGTGTAGCCCGACGTCAAGGAAGTGGACGGAAGAAACAGCAACATCAGCAGAAATGGTCCGAAAAGTAAAGAACCGCCTTGATCGAAGCCCGCGTCGCAGTGGCCGAAAAGTGGCTCGTAAGCTGAACATATCGTAATATTCCATTCGGCAAATATAGAAAAATGAGCTCGGAGTAAAGAGATTGAAATTCCAAAAAGTGCAAGAACTTACACCGCAACAGAAAGAGAACAGACTCAAAAGAGACAAAGAGTTGCTTCACATGGCCGAATTTGGTTTTCTCCGAAGAAAAAAAATCGTTGTCCAGCAGTTTGTAAAAAATTAAAATGGTTGTGTTTACTAGCCAAAGAGGTCAGCTGAAAATGTGCAACTTCGGTTGGCCACCGGAACTAAATCGACGGCCATGGTGATGGTGTGGGCCGCCATAACAGCCGATGGTCGCTCTCCGCTCGTATTAATCGACCATGGCATCAGAATAAATGGCGAATATTATCGCGAAAATATTCTAGAGGGTGTATTAAATCCTTAGGCACGCAAACATTTTGGCCACAGACCTTGGACATTCCAACAGGACTCAGCACCATCGCAATCAGCACGCGCCACTCAAGAATGGTTACAAAATGAGGTTCCTCGCTTCATTTCCAGCGCACAATGACCACCAAAATCTTCGGATAACAATCCGTTGAATTATTGTGTCTGGAGTATTTTGGAAAGCAAGGTTGGCACTAAGAAATACCAAAGTGTCATTCACCTCGTGTGACGGTTTCATTGGCCGTTTGACCAATAGGTGACCAATTCGAACAAATCTAATCTTATTTTAAAATTTGATGCTGTTTCCGACCTTTTTGCTTTTATTCAATAAATTTTCAAAAGTGTACAAATTATGGCGTTTGACTTTGTTGCAGTTTTTTTTTTCTCACCCTGTATATCTACCGTTTCATATAGCGCCTATACAACGGTACTTGCGGATATTCGGTATTTGGATGATTTTTGCCACATTATTCCACGGATTTGTCTAAAATGGTATTTGTAGGTCATAATGGGCTCTAGTTCCGGTAGTGCAACATTTATGCATAGGTCTACATTTTGTATAGACCCAATATAATGGTACCTCCCGATATTCCGTATTTTGATGATTTTTCCATAGATTTGTCCAAAAATTGGTTTGTAGTTCGCAATGGGTTCTAGCTCCGGCGGCGGAACATATAGGTCAACGTTTTCGTATAGCCCCTACATAATGGTACCTCCCGGTATTCCGTATTTTGATTAATTTTGCGACGATACCGACCGATATTGTTTCAAATTTAGTATTTAAAGATTCTGACCATAATATATTCTGCTAAATGTTAAGAAAGTGGACACAGTCATATACAAATGTCGTCTTAAATATAGAATAGGTTGCTATACTATGCACAAATTATTTAAGAATAACCACAACTTCCTGTCGTTAAGAAACTAATATTAAATTCATTAATGCTCCTAAAATCGAATGGGTTAGATTGGTTGTACCATGAATTGTGCTTAAATTTATTTGGAGAAAGAACTTTTCAATCAATTACGATTATAAGTCGGGTGGTATTGTTATGTTGTGCTTATGCAAAGTTTAGATCCACATCGAATGATTTTTGCAAGTTGTTTCCTCACTAAGAACCTTTAATGTCAAAAAGCTGTCAATTTATCTGGATAATGTTGCTAAGACCAAAGCTCTAGGCTTTCTGTTAGCCCCTTCATCTCAAAATGTACATAAGTCGAATGCTCGACATTTATCGGATTGACGATTGAGACAGCAGTTGACTTTCTAAGATACATTTATTTGTCTTTACAACTGCTTAAAATATGGATTTAAATTTTGTGACTGAAGGTTAGGTTCAAGGATGTGTGGTTGTAAAAACAACTACCCCACTCGAAGACCTATTGGTCCATTGTGTTCATCCTAATTTAAGAAGATAGGAGAATAGAGAGAAGAGAAGGAAATGAAAAGCGGATAGTGAATAAGTGAGAATCTAAATAAAGAGTAGAGGAGTTAGTAAGTTTGCATCCACGGTGTATCAGCTTGTCGTCCTTAGCCATTTTAGTCTTCTGGCTAACTGAAGAATGACTGCTGGCTCGATGTCGGAGACGGAGGACAAATCTGGCAGAAATTGCTTACCCTGTAGAGTCTGTCTCACTCCCATAAGAGTTGGACAGTGACAGAGTAAGTGCTTCACCTCTCAGTTTCTCCCTCGTCCTGACAAAGCCTGCAGTATTCAAAGTCGTTACCCCTCCATTTGGATGTCATGGCCTTTATGTTGCAGTGTCCTGTAATTAGGCCCACCACAAGTTTTTTTGTTCAGCATCGTCATGGATTGAGTAACCTTGATCTCCTTTTGGAGTTCACAGGCCAAATCTTTTTGGAGACATTACATCCCACTCCGGTTAGCCAGTTCTATTGAAATTTCCCAAAGTAATGCTTATGCCATGCTTGGAAGAAGTGGCATAAGGGTGACTTCACTGAGTTCTCAATCTCTAGATCTATTGACTCAGATCCGTGTCTGGCCAATTCATTGCCAGATATGTTGCAGTCCCCAGGGACCCAACAGAGTTTGACAAACGATTTAACCTTTTCCAGAGCATTCCTACATTCCAGACCTGCCATAGATTTTATTGTAAATAAATTTAGAGCTTTCAGGGCCGCTTGACTATCGACATATATAGTCACCGGTCCGTCCAGTTCATTGCTTCTATTTGCAACAGTAACCTTTGCCTTCCTGACAGCGAAGATTTCTGCCTGAAAAACGCTACATTCGTTGTTTAGTTTGAAGGATCGTGGGATACTTAGACTTTCACAGTAGACCCCAGCTCCCGTTCCACTTTCCATCCTTGACCCATCAGTATATACAGCTATACCGTTAAAAGGTGGAGCGTCGCGGGTCCAGATGCCTCTGTTAGGTATTTAGTGACTGAAGCAGAATTGGTTTAATAATCAAAATATTATCGACCTGTTTTTAAACTTATTAATTTCTTTTAAAACAAAAATAAACGTGAAGTGCACAATAACGCAAAATATTATATTGTACCCTGGAAAATTATCGGTTATTGACTGGGAAATATTCTCGCCATACGAAGATAATCAAATTTGATAATTGAATGCTCAAAGTGTATCAAAGAAGCACAGAACGATTATGTTTCGTAGGACAAATTTTACTTAATCAAGTGTAGTAAGAGTGTAAAGGGCGTAAACTCAACGGACATATACTGAAGTAAAATGTAAATTTTGTATAACATAGCTTTTTACTTCCTGATAACTTAAAATGCCAAAATACAGCTGAAATATTAAATCTCTATCAAAAATGGACAAACATTGTTTTTTTTTTCTCGCGGAGAGATTATCTCCCTTCAATTTAAAACTATGTTGGAAACCTGCAGGAAAGGGACCAGGGATCTCTAAAATGAGTTAATCATGAATAATATGTTTAATTTTAATTTCATATATTCATTTCATTCAAAGTAAAAATAGTAATACAGGATGAGATGAAAAAACTGAAACCAACTTTAGACTGCTGTCATTTCTAAGCCACTCGTCCGACAGCTGTTAAAATTATTCCAGTGACAGCTCATTATATTGTTTACAAGCGTAAAACCCATTTTGGCGAAAATTTTCCAGAAAAAAGTCATTCGTGATGGAATTCAATCCTAATAGTGTGATTTCTTTTTATTTGGCTGGAAAACCACAAGTGGCTATCGTTAGAGCACTCCAGCATTTGAATGTGAATAAATCTTTGTGTCTCGTACCATCGCTCGTTACCGCGATACTGGTAACGTAGCCCGACGTCAAGGAAGTGGACGAAAGAAAACAGCAACATCAGCAGTAATGGTTCGAAAAGTAAAGAAGCGGTTTGATCGAAACCCGCGTCGCAGTGGCCGAAAAATGGCTCGTGAACTGAACATATCGCAAATTTTCCATTCGGAAAATATTGAAAAATGAGCTCAGGGTAAAGCTATTGAAATTCCAAAAAGTGCAAAAACTAACACTGCAACAGAAAGAAAATGGACTCAAAAGAGCTAAAGAGTTGCAACACTTGGCCGAAAGTGGTGAACTGCCGAATTTGATTGTCTCCGATGAGAAAACATTCGCTGTCCAGCAGTTTGTAAACAAACAAAATGATCGTGTTTACTTGTCAAAGAGGTCAGCAGAAAATGTGCACCTTCGGTTGGCCACCAGAACTCAAGCGCCGGCCATGGTGATGGTGTGGGCCGCCATAACAGCCGATGGTGGCTCTCTGCTCGTATTAATCGACCTTGGCATCAGAATAAACTCCGAAAATTACGCGAAAATATTCTGGAGGGTGTATTAAAGCCTTGGACACGCAAACATTTTGGCCCCAGACCTTGGACTTTCCAATAGGACTCGGCACCATCGCACTCAGAACGCGCCACCCAAGAATGGTTACAGAATGAGATTCCCCGCTTCATTTCCAGCGCACAATGGCCACCACAATCTCCAGATACCAATCCGTTGGACTATTGTGTCTGAAGTATTTTGGAAAGCAAGGTTGGCACTAAAAAATACTAGGTGTCGATCATCTCAAGCAAGCGCTTCGCAGGGAATGAGCCTAAATACCGCAGAGCAACATTCGGGGAGCGTGTGACGGTTTCATTGGCCGTTGGAAGGTCATAATCCGTGTCAAAGGAAACTAATTCGAACAAACCTAAACTTATTCTAAAATTTGATGCTATTTCCGACATTTTTTGCTTTCATTCAATAAAATTAAAAATTATGGCGTTTGACTTTGTTGCAGTTTTTTATCTCATCCTTTAGAAATTGCATTGACAATTTTATTTTTTAGTGGTGAAAGAGATAATATTTTTTGTTCAACTTGCAAGATTTCCAAAAAGTACAATTCATCGCTTAGATTTAGAAAAATAAATTATCTTTATTATTATTATTAATTATTAACACTATTAGAAATTTTGTCTGTTATCTTTCAGGCGTTCGGACCAAAACTTTCAACATCGAAATGAGTGGAAAAGTACGTTTAAAGTCGAGTGGCGCCTTGGATGAAGACCCCTTAACTCTCCAGGACATCGTTTACCAATATATTTGTAAACATCTGGATGTCATCAGTTGTCCCGACGAAAGCATTGCCGATGAAGATGAGGAGGATGCCGACAAAAGATATTGTTTGCGCAGTGGTGTCGTACTACCCAATATAATATGCGATCGCCTCATTGATACCTATCAGAAACAGTACTATCAAAAGTTCGGTGATAATTTCATAAATTTATTCCGGGACACAAATAGAACATCACTCAAAGTTGTACATCTGCGTAATAGTAATTTAACAAATTATGGTGAGTCATTCCTATTTAGATAAACTATGTTATACGACAATTTGCAATTGAGGGGCCCTCTCATTTGAATAAGGTTTGGTGTTTTTCTGTTCTGCGTGACGTCGTATCATCTTATTTATTGCATAGACATAATTTCTGTATGCATGGTATGGCGTTAATGTGATTGCAAAGAGATAATCGATGCATATTGATGATGAGGTGCTTGTTTTATTGAAAAAAAGTGCAGTGCTGATAACACAACTTAGATTTGCTTTCCTCATTCCCCATAGTGACGGGGAATCATTAAATTTTAATCAATCTAAGTACGGCGATCTTGCATTGTGCTATTGACCTAAAAATTCGTTCTATTATCATAGAAAATGGATGGTTATTCTTGGAATGATACAAAGCGAAAATCACATGGAGAGGTAGGGAGTTTTCAAAATGATTTTTTCAACTATCAAGGAGCGCAGAGATATACACAATAGATTTGTAGACTGAACCAATTTGTGAATCTAGTTCGCATCCGAACCTTTCGGCGAGTACCTACGTTATGGTATGTATGTACAAACCATAAAGTAGAAAAAATAATTAAAGTAAACGAAAAAAGAGAACAACATAAAGGTTATGTTAGGTTAAAGGACGCGCGGTTGCCTTTTTGGTGACCGCTCCACTTGGAGACCTGCTGCTCCCTTGTGTTCATCCTAATAGGAAATTGGAAGAAAGAAGAATTGTAGATGAAAAAAGGTGTTAGAGGTTTAAAATACATTTATGAGGGTCGTCTTTAGCCACTTAAATCTTCTGGTTAATTGAAGAATTACTGTAGGGTCAGTGTTAGAGAACGAAAGCAAACTATGTGACACTTGTTCCCCAACCTGTGTCTCACGTTAATAAGTGCTGGACCTATGTCTCACGTTTATGAGTTGTGGACAGTGACAGAGCAGACATTCGTCCTGACATATTCTACAGTAACCAATGTCATCGCTGTCCCATTTCGAGGTCATTGCCCTCACCTTGCAGTGACCTGTAATGACACCCACCATAAGTTTTAAGTCAGGTTTAGACAATGACAGTAGCGACTTTATTCTCTTCTCCGAGAATGTGGGCCAGATTCTTTCGGAGATGTTGCATCCCCTTTCGCCCAGCCATTTTTGTTGAAACATAAAGTTAAGTCTTGTATACGTTGTTAAAGGACTCGTTCAGAACAAAATTGTGAGCATGTTTAGTTTGGGGGCGATGCTCTGATTATTGGGAAATTTTTATCACAGTTAGGTATTTTTACCCTGATTTTGGGAAAAATATTTTTTTGTAGAGCTTTTTCCTTTAAATTGAAGGTGCGGGTGCAAAAAAGGTCCGGATACAATCTCAATGACAAAGCGATGCATACAAAATAGGTTGTTGTAACAGCTGCACATGTTTTGTTCAAAATCTGCTAATCAGCTTCTAACTCCAGGTTCAAAAATTCGACTACTTTTACGGGCTGTAACCTGAGGTCTTCTTGAGTCAGTGGAGGCCAATTAAAGAGGTGTTTCGTACATCTTCGTCAATTCGCGCCCAATACGAATTGAGATGAATACACCAACATGAGCGCAGGCTAGAGTCATAAGGGTCTCATATTTAACTTGGACAGCAGAGATCAAACCAGATCTGGATTTCAAGCAGGGAGTTTTTTTTTTTTACCAGACATTAACCTGGGATCTGAAAATGAAAATAGTTTTTACAAAACTTCCTCTCTTGGAATCGGTTTAAACAAATCCATCCATCGGTTTAAACAAATCCATCCAGCCATCCACTTTCTCCTAATACTTTTTCTACATATTTCGAGCATTTGTCTTTTTTTTTCCCACATTTCAGGACTTGAAATACTCATGCGCCACAAATTATACTCGCTTTCCATGTGGTATTGTGATAAGGTTACCGTTCAATCTCATGAATTACTGGCACAACACGGAGAAAGTTTACGTTCTCTAGAACTGGGTATTGGATCACATATGCTACAGAATGCCGAGCCCAATGAAAAGGAACCTGTAGACTTCCAGTTCAATTGTCCACACCTGCGACGCTTGGTATTGAATGCCGTTGTTCTACATCAACGTCTAACATTTGCCCATTTAACGGATTTGACACATTTGGACTTGACATCGTGTATTTTAGCCAGTTTCAGTCTGCAGGCATTGTCCACCCTACCCAAACTTCACACATTGATTCTTTTTAATGTGTGGCCCATTGCGAATCAGTTACATGCGATTTGTTCGCTAAGCCGTCTTCGTACACTGGATATATCAATTTCAGGCTCTAATAATGGTCATGGCACATATGATTTACCCGATCAGAAATTGGAAATGCTTATGGAACATTTACCGGATCTAACACATTTGGATATATCTGGTACAAATTTGGCAGGCAATGGTGTGGCAACAAAAGAATCTTGTTACAAAGCAAACACAGATATACCGGGTTTGGCGTCACGAACACAAAGGCCCCTACAATTTCTGGGTTTATATCACACAGCACATTGGGCCTGCAAACGACACGATATACCAGCGAATGAGGTAAGCCGTGATTTAAATAAAATGTTATATGCTTCTAATGAAAATATTCCTCCACAGATTGCCGGCGATGCAAATGAACAACAGATCTTAACTGCAGCTAGATATTATTATGACAGACCGGTACTTTTAACGAGGGTAGGTTTCGTTTATTTTACTTGGAATCTATGACTTCACTGTTCCCATATTCGCAGGTTCTCAACGATCTTTATCATCTGTTTCGTTTTGAAAACTGCAAAGACATACACACAGCCTTGGATGTTGTTCTCACAGCTATGGACAGACATTTGAAATTTAAGCACATGCAGATATCTGGAAGGTTTGTTTAAGCATTCGCTGATACTATGGTGTTTTACTGCTAGGTTCTACTGTCTGCCCACTTTATTTTACAGTGCAACATTGTTTTATATTGTGAAAGGACGTGACCGCTCGAAATTTGGCACACCACTGAGGAATCACATTATACGAACATTGCTCAATGGAATGGAGGTGCACTTAAACGATGATACAATGCTACGAAATGGATACCTAACATTGACGCAATTTCAAATGCCTAACGATGTGGTAGGTGGTATTTGTTTCTACTGCTGTATATGAAGTTACCAAATGTTTCTTGCCTATTTTTCTTAAAGTTATTTGAATATGAACGTCTCATCAAAATATTGTTGCATGGAGTGTCGAAAACGGAACAGGAGGGATTTGTACAAAGGATAGCTATATATCTATTGAATACGCTGGCTTGCCAAGTTGATGGACGACAAAAGTTGTTTTTGGGTGAACTCGGAGTTGTTAAGGTATGGCAATGACTAACCTAAAAAAAATGTAAATGGATTGATATATGCCTTTCTACTTTTCTTCCCCCTCCGCAGACTATGTTAAGTTTAATTAAAGATCGTTTAACACGTTCGGTATTGGATGATGTTATGGAGGTGGCATGGTCAACCATGTGGAATGTAACTGATGAGACTGCTATTAATTGTAAGAGATTTTTAGACGGCCGTGGTATGGAGTATTTTCTGCGATGTTTGAATGTATGTACATTGTTCCAATATGAAGCAGCCGTTTAGAATCCATTCTAATTTGTATAATTTGGTCATTTGCAGACATTTAGAGAACGTGATGAGCTATTGAGAAACATGATGGGCTTATTGGGTAATGTTGCAGAAGTTAAATGGTTGAGGCCGAAATTGATGACACAAAAGTTCATTGAAGTTTTTGCCGAACTGTTATCATCGGAAAGCGATGGAATTGAGGCAAGTGATATATATGTGTATGAAGGATAATCACCTCCTCAGTGATATATTTTTAAGAATATTTTTATTCATATTTTAATTCATTTCTTTGTTGTTACCCAAGGGAAAGGCTAAAAGGCAATCCTTGTCATATCCCCTGGTATTTGTAAGGGGATATTTTCCCCAGGTGTTATTTGAAAAACACTCCTGTTACAAACACTTTTGTACCCAAGTAAAGAAAAATAGGAAATGTTTGTATGTGGGATTGTAAGATTTCCTGGTTTCTTGAGCTTGTAATCATCACATGGGTATATAAAAAAATTTTGTTATAGGAATTATTTTTTAAACAACTTCTTGGGAGAATATCCTAAAACAACAACCAAGGAAACTGACCATAGTCGGTGGATATTTCCGAAATCATATTGTTTCCCGTCTCACACCTTGGGGAACATTTTTCAACATTAGTTGTTTTTTTAACAACAAAAATTTAATTGAGCCCGAATATTATGATAAAAAACAACTATGGTATCCCAACAAATTAATGTCAACACTATTCAATATCCGAGGCACAGCAGAACATTTGTTTAGAATATTTTTGGGCGCTATGCGTGTATTTGACTGACCACATATATAAAAAATATTTAAAGACAAATTACAAATTATTTTTTGGGTTTTGTAATTCTTTAAAAAATATCAGTGTTTTAACCTCAACAATTTGGAATATCATAATAATGAAAGCCAAAGACTGACATGCTTCTTTGATTCGATTGCTAAGTGAGATATAAGCTGATTTTAAATCTTAGTTAACTACAGGGTGAGATAAAAAACTGCAACAAAGTCAAACACCATAATTTTTACATTTTTTTAAATTTTATCGAATGAAAGCAAAAAATGTCGGAAATAGAATAAAATTTTAGAATAAGTTTAGATTTGTTCGAATTGGTCACCTTTGACACGAATTATGGCCTTCAAACGGCCAATGAAACCATCACACGCTGACCGAATGTTGCTCTGCGGTATTTTGGCCCTTTCCCTGCGAAGCGCTTGATTGAGGTGATCCACACATTGGTATTTTTAGTGCCAACCTTGCTTTCCAAAATACTCCAGACACAATAGTCCAACGGATTGGTATCCGCAGGTTTTGTTGTGCGCTGGAAATGAAGCGAGGAACCTCATTTTGTCACCATTCTTGGGAGGCGCGTGCTGAATGCGATGGTGCTAAGTCCTGTTGGAATGTCCAAGGTCTGCGGTCAAAATGTTTGCGTAACCAAGGCTTTAATACACCCCCAGAATATTTTCGCCATAATATTCGGCATTTATTCTGATGCCATCGGCTGTTATAACGGCCCACACCATCACCATGACAGGCGCTTGACTTCTGGGGGCCAACCAAAGGTGCACATTTTCAGCTGACCTCTTTGGCAAGTAAACACGATCATTTTGTTTGTTTAAAAACTGCTGAACAACCAATGTTTTCTCATCGGAGAAACCCAAATTCGGCTCTTCACCACTTTCTTTAGCTCTTTTGAGTCTATTTTCTTTCTGTTGCGGTGTAAGTTCTTGCATTTTCTGGAATTTCAATGGCTTTACCCCGAGCTAATTTTTCAATACTTGTCGATATGCAATATGTTAAGCTCACGAGCCATTTTTCGGCCACTGCGACGCGGGTTTCGATCAAGTCACTTCTTTACTTTTCGAATCAATTCTGCTGTTGCTGTTTTCTTCCGTCCACTTCCTTGACGTCGGGCTATGCTACCAGTATCACGGTAACGAGCCATAAAAGATTTATTCACATTTAAATGCTGGAGTGCTCTAACGATAGCCACTTGCCGTTTTCCAGCCAAATATAAATAAATCACGCTTGAATTCCATCACGAATAACTTTTTTTCTGGAAAATTCTCACCAAAATGCTTCTGCAGGCTTGTAAACAATATAATCAGCTGTCACTGGAATAATTTTAGCAGCTTTCGGACGAGTGGCTTAGAAATGAAAGCAGTTTGAAATTGGTTGCAGTTTTTTCACATCACTCTGCACATTGAATAACATATGTTGGAACTAAATACCACCTGGTGTAGTTTCTTCAAAACTAAAATTATTTTTACGGAATTTTACAAATTATGGTTCCTATAGGTTAACTTCTATATTGAATGCCTTACAATCTACCATTCTACCGAAAACACTAACCGATATTGAGTTCTTCAAGAGAGCTCCTGAAGCATCAATTATTTTAGAATTACCTTGAAATTGTGATCACATTAATACGATTACATTGGTTTAACCATAAAATTAACATTTTATAATTTCTATTGGATTAACCAATATATATTTCGGATTTTCAGGTAAGTTATAATGCAGCTGGTGTGCTGGCACATATAGCTTCAGATGGCCCGGAAGCGTGGACAATTAAAGAGCCATCACGTGATGAAGTATTAGCAAATATGGTCAAAGCTATTGTTCGATGGGACATAAAAAGTGATCGCAATATAAACTATCGTAGTTTTGAACCCATTTTGGGTTTGGTGCGTTGCTATGAAACTCCACAATGCCAACATTGGGCAGTATGGGCTTTGGCAAATCTTACACAGGTAAATTCTTATATTACAACCTATGTGCGTTTAACAAGTTAATATTGTATTGTATCACCAGGTTTATCCCGACAAATATTGCCAACTGGTGGAGCAAGAGAATGGCATAGAGATTCTTACGGAATTAATTAACCATCCGAAACCATATGAGGACATCAAGAGAATAGCGCGCATGGTAATCGATCAATGCAATCGATGTCCCCGTCCCATGCTCGAAGGTTAAGTTATTTCCTGTACCTCTCCCCCTCCCTTCCCAGTTGTATCTCTCTCTTCTATATGTATGTGTATTTTTAGAAAGCACTTTCAGTGAGCGTGTTTAAGTGAGTGAGTGATTATTATTGATTGTAGAAATTAGAATAAAACTAAATATGCGTTTCGCAGAACGTAGAACATAAAATGCAGAATACAAGTAAACAATTTAACATGTTTTAAGCATATACCGTTCTTTTACTGCTACTGAATTTAAAGTGATTTCATTCATTGTCGCCATCTGGATTTGCAAAATAACACGAAGTTTTTGTTGTTGAGAAGGAGAAAGCGAAGAGAAGTAACTACAACAACTTGAAACTCGACGAGGAATACTGCTTTTGCTTTTGTATGACATCTGGCAGTTAATATGAAATCAACCGCCACAGGCATATTGTGGAAATCCCAGCCATAGGGAAACGATATTTTCCTACTGTTATCCGATGCTTTATTGTTTAAATCCTGGCTTCTTCCACAAAAAGTTGTTCTTTTTAAATTAACCTGCGATGAATAAAAGAAAAATACATAGATTTATAATAAATTATTAAATTTACGCGTAATATTTATCTTTGACTTGAAATATAAACAAAATGAAAAAACCCATATTCGTAAAAAAAACTATGATAACTAAAAAGATATAAATAGAAAACCAACAAACACATCTCCCATGGCCCCTGTTTACATCCATCCCATAATCCCATAATTATGTATATATTAAGTTATATAAAAAAAGAAATGTTATTAAAAATAAACAAACAACTAAAAAAAATCAATAGCTTGTTTTTATCAGAGGATTTTGAAATGGAATACTTTTTTGTTGTGTGGTGGATGGCTAAATACGGTATACATCATTTGATACGGCAAAAATGTATATCGATCGGATTAGATGGGGCGAACAATAATTTTCTGTTCTGGTGGCCAACCGAAGGTGCACATTTTCTGCCGACCTCCTTGGCAAGTAAACACGACAACAAATGTTTTTTGATAGGAGAAATTCGACAGTTCACCACTTTCGGCAGTTCACCAAGCGAAGCAACTCTTTAGCTCTTTTGAGTCTATTTTCTTTCTGTGGCGGTGTAAGTTCTTGGACTTTTTGTAATATTAATGGCTTTACCCCGAGCTCATTATTCTATATTTGCCGAATGGAATATTGCGAAGTGTTCAGCCACTGCGACGCGGGTTTCGATCAAGTTGCTTCTTTACTTTTCGAACCATTTCTGCTGATGCTGCTGTTTTCTTCAGTCCACTTTGCGGTAACGAGCGATGGTACGAGGCATAAAAGATTTATTCACAATTAAATGCTGGAGTGCTCTAACGATAGCCACTTGTTGTTTTTCCAACCAAATATAAAGAAATCACTCTATCGCGCTTGAATTCCATCACGAATAATCTTTTCTGGAAATTTCTCACCAAAATACTTATGTACGCTTGTAAACAATATAATGAGCTGTCACTGGAATAATTTTAACAGCTGTCGGACGAGTGTCTTAGAAATGACAGCAGTCTGAAGTTGGTTGCAGTTTTTTCATCTCACCCTGTATATTTGGCAGAATATGGTATTAGGTGAACAGATGGTGATTGAAATCTGAAAATTGGTATTAGGATCGTTGTTCATGGGTACCCTGGACGTATGGAGCTGGTTGCGGAAATGTATACCAAAATGTATGAAAAATAAAAGTACTGAACGGTTGGGTTGAAGTAATAGGGATAATATTCTGGAATTTGATATTTAGATTACTGATGGTATCTGAGGTAATGATATGGAGGTGTTTTTGGAAATGTGTGCCATAATTGTACGAAAAGAACTAAATAGTACTAATTTTGGTATTGGGTGAAGGGATAGAACTGAAACCGTGAACTGTTATATTCCTATAACTGTTGGTATCTTGGATTGAGATATGCAACGGTTTTGCAAATGAGTACGAAAATTATACGAATAGTACTAAAAGCTACTAAATTTGGTATTGAGTGATTTTATAGAGCTGATGTCAGGGCCTTTGTTCGTATCTGGAACTTACTTAGTGATACTAAATTGGGTATTGGGAGAAGGAATAAGGCTGGAATCCTAAAATTAGATATTTGGTATCAGGTGTTGGTATCTGGAATTGAGATATGGAGGTGGTTTTGGAAATGTGTGCTATAATTATACGAAAAGTACTAAATGATACTAATTCTGGATCACTCTTGGTGTCTACGATGGAAAGATGTAGATAGTATAGGATATGCTTAACACTCCTAATACGAACTGTTGGAACGAATCTAAATTTTTAAGTTGCTGGGTTGTTATATTCATATGAGATCTAATGCGGTCTATCCGACACACATTTTGCTAGTTGTTACCCTACAATTTTTTTACCCTTTTGGGGGAAGTACGCGAAGATTGGATGTATATTTTTCCTTAAGTTTAAAATAAACATTGCCATATTGAAACTGCATCTGTTACGCCCTTCGTTCAATTTTTTTGTAAATGGTTTCTTATTGCAAATAGAATTTGACGTTTCCTTTAATACAATTTAAGAAATATCGGAAAATCACATTTGACGAGAGTTATTATTTTTCAAAGTTTTGACCTTTCGTGAGGGAGATATCAGAAGGAGAAGGCTGATATTGTTCATTTTCGCACTTGACCTAAATCTTATCTAAATATTAAGGTGTGTCGGCTTTTTTTATACCCTCCATCATAGTATGGAGGGTATATTAAGTTTGTCATTCCGTTTGTAACACCTGTAAATATACATTTTAGACCCCACAAAGTATATATATTCTTGATCAGCATAAATTTCTATAACGGTTTAGCGATGCCGTGGATCCGTCTGTGGAAATCACTCTAGCTTCCCAAAGAAATGAAGTAGGTTGATAAAATTGTACTCAATTGTATATTATGGCCGTCCAAGTTTTGGTATAGCCCCATATAATGGTACCTCCCTATTTTCGGTATTCTGGTGATTTTATCGACATTATTCACCGGAAATGTTTCAAATTTTGTATTTGAAGTTCGTAATGGATATTACAGCCTATGACTGACAGATCCACGTCTTCGTATAGCCCCCATATAACGGTACTTTGATGATTTAAGCGACATTATACACCGGAATTTTTTCAAATTTGGTATTTGAAGTTCGTAATGGATACTACAGCCTTTGACAGAAAATTGTCTGTGCAGGTCCACGTCTTCGTATAGCCCCCATACAACGGCACCTCCCGATATTCGGTATTTAGATGATTTTAGCGACATTATTCATAGGATTTTCTCAAATTTGGAATTTGAAGTTCTTAATGGATACTACAGCCTATGACAGGAAAGTGTCTGTCCAGGTCCACGTTTTGTTATAGCCCCCATGGTACCACCCTATACTCGGTATTTTGATGATTTTAGCTACATTATTCACCGATTTTTTAAAGTGTCGCATTCGAATATTGTAATGGCTTATGACAAATGTTGCCTATGCAGGTTTATGTTGTCGTATTGACCCTATTATAACGACTAAAGTAGATTTTAACAGAATTTTTAACTGATTATTCCTTTTTGGAAAATTGCCAAATTCGTTCCAATGGTGGAAGGTATTCAAAGATCGTCCCGGGCGAACTTACAGATTTTTTATTTGTTTTTTTTTAATGTTGAACATTGTAAGGTAGGTACCAGAGAGAGCGAACCGATACTGCCTATCTACGAACCCGATCTAAATTTGGTAAAAAAAAGTACGATGCAGGGACGAACATGAAAAAGTATTCTCAAACCATTTCAAGGGATTACCAAAAAATGTAGTTTTTTTAGGATAAAAAAATGTCAAAAATTTTCTTGTCTTTTCGGAGGGGACCCCCTTTCCACTTATAACGTAGCAAGTTTGGATTAAATCGATTACTTTCTTCGAGAGTTATCGTGAGCACCAGTCGGCCAGTCTGACATGGGTAGATCGACTACAAATGCACTAAATCGGATTTCGTCCAAGGAGACGTATAGGTTTGATATCATTATTTCGATTAACCAGTTTTTGGCCGAATCCCAGCAAAAACGTTCATTACCAAATAATTAGTTGCCTAACCACAACCTTCGGTTTTGTAGTCAGGTGCGCATACGCTGTATCGACGTTTCTTTTACTTGGTTATGAGGAAATTTATTAAGAAACAGCCCATTATTTTCTACCCCACTGGTAATGCAGAAGTAGATGTAGAAGTTGGAAGGATTTACATTATACAAATCCTCAAACATGTATTTGTTACGAGATGCCCTTCAAGATATTATTAGTATTATGTTTTTTTCTTTGCTAGTTCGAGGAAGTCCTCATCATTTTATGTTCAAATGTATCCTGTCTTAACAGCAACACCAAATTTATCCGCAATCGACAGCCCTAATTCTTGTAATTATTCAAAATAATTATGCACACGATTCAAATTACAACCCTATGCTGCCATAAATATGCTAGGGATCATAATGGAATGCGGAAAGTTGGATGTTTTGCAAAAAAAATTGCAATGCAATCTTTGTATTTTTGTAAAAATGTCTGTATGGTATGTACATGTGTGCAAGTCCCAAAGTGCGCACACTCTATGAGAACACCAACATGCAGATGTAGCGGTTGGCACAAAAAGAGAGCGCTTTCGTTTCGTTGGATAGCACGTTGTTTCAGAATGTAAATAACAACCACCCACTCCGCTAGTGGACTGACTGCAAATGAACGTGTTCTATCACCTCATCTCATTCCTTTCGTCCGCATGTAATGTAGTTTGTAACTTGCCTAAACCCTCCAGAGACCGAGAGCACAGTACGCAGGGTACATCAACCCTTCGCTGTCCGTCCAATTTTTGGCATGTTTTCTGTTTTGGTTGAGCATAATCGCCGGTTGTTTATGTTTTCACTGCTAATGGAGACAGACATGGCCAGACAGAATGTACGGCCAAGGTGGAATGGTGGCTGTGACAAACCACCCCTAAATGGAAGGAGTAAGTGTGTTTATGTGCGAAAAGAGACATGTTATTCCTGTCGTACGTTTGCATATTTCCCTTCTTTAGTTTTCACATGGACGCTTATCGGTTCGGTGGGGGTGTTGGAGTAGAAAATAAAAAAAAAACGCAAAATTGTTCGAATTAAATATCAAATTTTATGAAAATTATAACACAGCACCCCAAATAGTTTTTATATTCAAAATTTAAACATCGCAAGAATTATGAAATGTCGCGTGTTTCCGGGATCCACATGCAATTTTTAACCCATAACGGTCATTGGGCTCTTAATAACCCAACAACAATTACCATTACAGCGGGCGCCCAATCAATGGGACAAAGTGAATATGAAGAATAATTTGAAAATTAAATTTTATTCCAAAATAAAGTGTGCTTGACAAAATAGTTTTCAAAATGAAAAAATAAATAAATAGAATAAAGATTTCTATTAAAATATTAAAAACAAATGTTAACCATCAATTAAAGACAATCAAAAACAAAAAAAGGATATACGAGAGTCACGGCTGGTTTTTGGATTCTGCGCATTACAATCTCAATAAGCAATTCAGGATTCAACTGTCAAATACCGGTAATTATTTTTGCTCTGTGTTTTGATTTCGAGGTTCATAACAAATAATTCAATGTAAACAAATGGTCCACAGAAGCTGGAGAAGCAGATCGAAAATATAGATTCCATATTAATAGATTAAATGAGCATAGGAACGCTACCATACCGAATAAGAAAAAAAAAATCGAGATAATTCTAAATCGGGAAGCTATCTTGTATTATTTTTATCCTGTTTTTCTCCTAATTTTAATGGTGAAATTATTCCCTGTAAAAATGTATGCTAGTCTGACTGGATCGTTAGCCTCGATAATATTCTACGGAGGTTTCCAATTTAGTCCAAAATGTTCAGATCGTATATTTGTATCAAATAGATCACGTTCGAAGATGGGTAATATCGGTACACCTACACTTCCTGGTATCTCAAATATTTTGCACGATGGTCAGTTTAGGCGCGTGGGCGTGTGATAAGGCTGGGTTTTTTAAAATCCGTAATAAAGGGGTGGGAGAAAACTGGAAATTTGGAACGAGAATCAAGGTTTGAAAGTAAGTTTGAATTATGAAGGTGGTTTTGGAAATGTATACTAGGATGAACGGATGAAGCTGGAATTTTGAAATTTTGTATTGGTGTTTCGGTTGGTGTTAGGTTTGTGATAAAGAGGTGGTTTTGGAAAAGTACAGCAAGTGTGCGTGCAAAGTACTAAATAGTGCTATAATTGGGAAAAATTGGTACTGGGTGAACGGATAGTGATTGAAATCTGAAATTTGGTATTAGGGTCGATGTTCATGTGTGGCCTAAACATATAGCGGTGGTTTTGGGAACGTTTACTATAATTGTACGAAAAGTACTGAAATGTACTATATTTGGTATTGGGTGAAGTGAAGTGATATTGGTTCTGTGTGTTTGATATTAGGCGGTGGTTTGGAATTGCGTCATATATTTGTACGAAAAGTACTAAATGGTACAAAAATTGGTATTGAGTGAAGCAATATACCTGGAGTTATGAAATTTAATATTGAGGTCTCTGTTGGTATCTGGGACTGAGATATGTAGGTGGTTTTGGAAATTTGTGCCATAATTGTACGAAAAGTACTAAGTGGTTCTAAGTGGTGGTTTTGAAATGCTTCCTATATTTGTACGAAAAGTACTAAATGGTACTATATTTGGTATTGAGAGGAGGTTGGTATCTGAGATTGAAATATGTAGGTTGTTTTGGTAATGTATACCATAATTGTACGAAAAGTATTAAGCGGTACTAAATGGTACTAAACGCTACTATATTTGGTATTGAGTGGAGGAATAGAGCCGATGTTTCTGTTGACATCTGGGATTGAGATATATAGCTTGTTTTGGAAATATATACCATTATTGTACGAATATTATTAAGCGGTACTAAATTTGGTATTGGGTAAAGGGATAGTAATAAAACAGTGAAATTGTATATTGCGGAAACTGTTGGTGTTTAGGATTCAGATATGGAACGGTTTTGCAAATGAGTACTATAGTTATATGAAAAGTAGTAAATGTTACAAAATTTGGCATATTTCATATTGAGGTCTCTGTTGGCATCTGGTAGTGGTTTTGCAAATGCGTACTATAATTGTTCGTAAAGTACTAAATGCTATTCATTTTGGATCACTGTTGGTGTCTAGGATGGAGAGAAGTAGATTGTTTTGGATATGCGTACTAAATGTTACTGTTACTTCTTTTTCTGATGCAATTCGAAACATTTTAATTGTAACAATTAATTTGTAATTCGAGAATTCTAATTTTAATTTAAATTCAAGAATTCTATTTGTAATTTGAAACATTTGAATTTTTATATTTGAGAATTTAATTTGCAATTCGAATAATTCCATTTCAAATTCAAAATATTTCATTGTTAATTTGATTTGTTCTATATTTTATTCGAATTATCACATTTGAAATTAGAATTATTTCACTTGCAATTCAAATAATTTTATTTGTAATAAGAAAAAGCAAATATGAAGCCAATGCTAAAAAATGCTCGCAATTTTGGAATAATACAAATGAAATAATTCGAATTGAAAATAAAAAAAACTCGGGTTAGATTAGATGTGGATACCTCACGCCAACCAAAGGACCAACATTCATAACTCTCATAAAGCCTCCTATTAGATCTCAGTCGAAACATGAGAGAATCATATGAGACCCATTTTAGCCATATAATCTATACCTTAAATATCTATCCGGCTGGGCATAATAAATAAATTATATCTTTAGGGTAAGTGCGCCTTAGTTCGGCATGTCCCAATAGTCGGCAGTTTTGAAATTTAAACTTAAATAACTAAAAATGGAATTGACCACATAATGAAATAATTGCAAAAAAACGTCAACAGTGTTCTCTGCTCTCTTTCTGTAAAAAAACAATGAACTCCGATCATTTATTACGAGGGAATAACGGTTTTCGTCAGTAAGTGTCTTCCAACGCGTGCGATAGTGCTTGTTTGTAAAGAAAAAGTTAGTGGCGGCGTCAACTTAATAATCGGTTTAAGTAAATTAAATTTAATACTTTTGGAATCAGAAATATTTTATAATAGTATATAACAGTCTAAATATCATTTTATAACTCAAAAATATGCAAATCAAGCATTTTTCTGTTATATTATTTAATGCCGACATTAGGAACAGAAAAAAAAGAGATTTGCCAGTAGTCGGCAGGGGGTGCCGATTACTAGAAAAATATCATTTTTGACCTATTTCACCAAAACTTGAGAAAAGTATTAAAAAATAATCCAAAAACTACTCAAATAAAAAATAGTTTTGAGTCGGCAGTTGCTTTTATTTGTGCTTTTTGACCAACTTTTCTAAATTAAGAAGGTTTTTGTTTAAATCATTTAAAAAATGTTGGTTATCTAAAGGAAAAAGATTAATTCACAAATTCCAAATATAAGAAAGTTAATTTTTTATTTAATCTCATTTTTATTTTAATTGAAAATCCATACTATTCTTGATTTTCTACCTATATTTGGTTTAGAATGTTGATTAAATAAAACACTATTTAAAAACGAAATTAGTTAATTAAACTGTGAATTAGTATTACAGCATTGTTTTATTCTATTTGAAATAAAAAACCAGTAAAGAAAGTCTTAAAGTCGGGTGGAGCCGACTTTATGATACCCTACACCACTTTGCTAAATTAGTAGAGCTCCACATAACAATTAAAGGTTTTTATGGGAGAATACAATCATACACGCTATGATTATAATTATAACTTAAAGTTCAAAGGACTAAATATGCCGAAGCAATTGTATCTTTTAAATTCGGAATTGTATTGCCCATTTGGATAAAGATATATATGGGAGCTATATCCAAATCTGAACCGATCTCGATAAAATTTGGCAAAGATATTTCTGAGCTGTATTTGATATATTTCCCTGAATATCGTTGTTACGGAGTGCATATTGCGGCTGTGGGTAACAAATATAACAAATCGGATGAACAATATATATGGGAGCTATAGCTATATCTGAACCGATTTCCATCAAATTTGGCATACATATTTTCAGACCTAATTTGGGTGTATATGCATTCCATACAATTCGGGCTGATATTACACGTTTGGTGCGCAATAAAAGGCAAATCGGACGAAGATATATATGGGAGCTATATCTAAATTTTGACCGATTATTTCCAATTTCAATAGGGTTCGTCCTTGGGTGAAACATATGATCTGTGCAAAATTTCATCTGGATCGGGCAATAAATGCGACCTGTACATTGTTTACAAAAATACATGGACAGACGGACAGACGGACGGACGGACAGACGGACGGACGGACATGCATAAATCGACTCAGAATGTGATTCTATGCAGATCATCAAAAGGAACTATGGGTCTATCTCGTTTCCTTCTGCCTGTTACAAACAAATGCACAAAGACATAATACCCTGACCACCTTGTGGTGTAGGGTATAAATATACAAAATAATATTTTTTTAATGAAATAGCATATGCCGACTACTGGCAAAAAACTCCTTTTTTAGTAAAATTGCAAATTTTGCCAATTTAATAAAAACAAATTCAATTGTTGTTTATTATTTCGAAAACTAAACAAAATATGGAATCTGAACAACTTTATTTTTTTGCAATTGAAAGATTTCACTCAGAATGTCGAAAAATTGAAATATTGAAAAGCCTAAAAGTGCCGAATACTGGTACACTTACCCTATTCACTTTCAAAATAAATGTCTTCCGGGCATGAAATAGACATCAGAATTGAAATCTGCAAGTCTATGATTAATCGGAATTTTCGTTATGGCCCCTATGTTGTCGTGAAGAAGATTCAAATATGAAAAACTACTTCGTTATAGACATGTCAGGGCGGAAAAGTCATCAAATTATAATACCCACCACTACTCTTACTATAAACCTCGAACCAATTTATTACATATCGATTTTTTTGCTTTGTCTGGGATTCGAACTGCCGTTCTCTCACCAAACAGTCCACACGAAGAACGTGCGGAACGCCTTAACAGTTCAGCTACATACAGACAAACAGTTGTCGTGCCAATAATGAGGCTATGAAAGGTTTGATAACATTGCCAGTGGTGTCGGTCTGTTGTTCTATTTATAGATGCATGCTGAGAGTGAGGTAGAGTTGCCAGCGTTATTAAAACCAATGGGAACTAATTGTTGACACACTATAATCAGTTGGGGATTTTAATTCCAATGCCCACAAAATTTTGTTTCTTTTAATTTGTTGCCAAACGATATGGTCATATAGCGACATTCGCTCTGGATCTTGGAAAAGATATTTCGCTATTTTATTTATACCTATAAATAAAATAAAATTAATAACCCTCACTGTAGATTATTAAATTTTTATACGTTTTTGGTAACATTTCGTTAACCGTTAAAATTAGAGCTATCTAATGGCGTTTCCACTGCACTTGATTCGGTCTCTATTCGTTGTTTGACCCTTAACTATGAAAAAACTACTTAATTCTTCACACAAAATTTCCTGAGCGAACACTCATATTTGTACATTGTTCAAATCAAAT